GAATATTTCACTGCCCTTGCTACGTTCAAACGCGGCGATGACAACAGCCTGTGAATGAAACCCGTACGATCCAAGCGTGCACGCCACTCCGATCGAAACGCGGGTTATTCTTCGCTAATAAACACGTCATCTTCGACTAATGAAGTTGCGTTACAAGCAGCCTTAATAAAAAAAGAAAAAAATTCTCGTGACTCTGCGCCATTAAGCATTTTATGCAACATTGTGTCGTCCGATATTCGATGGGGATCCACGATAACACGGTCGTATTTCAAGCGGGGGCCTTCGCGAGACTCATAAATAAGTACGACGGTCGCGCGAGGCAAATTGCAAGCTGTAGTAAAATTTAATTCGCTGGTTGTATATCACGAACGTTTCCTTTTCTTTGTCGAGAAGAAACGGAACGATGAAATTACACGGCGATTCCCGGATAAATCGCAAGGATCGTTCAATTTAGTCGGGAAATTTCAACGCAATTAAGCGTGTAACGTACGACTGTGTTACGCGACGACGTACAGGGTGTTCCTGAAATTGTGGTACAACAGGAGGTGGTTCCACGTGAGAAAAATTAAGCGAGAAAGGAAGAATAAATTTCTTTGATTTTGATGGCTTTGTTTTCGAAAAAAATCGAGCTCAAAAATTTAATTATATTATATTGTATTATTTAATTAGATTGTAATTACTGGGTTAAATTTAACTACTAGATAATTATTATTAAACTAAATACTTGAATTTCACTAAATCTGGATGTGTAACTGAAAAGAATAATTAATAGAAGAATATCCTATATTCATAGATAAGTAAAAAAGATGCAGAATAAAATTTTTTCAATATGTTTCGTTAGAAGTTGTCTCGTTGGTAAATTTTCAAGTTTCTCGATTTTCTCGAAAATGAAACATCTTGCAAACAAATTTTACTCTGCGTTTCTTACTTATTTTACCTAGAATGATTTCTTAATCATTATTTCCTGCCGTGTCTGGAATTGGCTAAACTCAATCGTACCTGATCAAATTTTCATTTCCTTGAGAACGAAGCGTAGCGTGGAAATATTCTATTCTTTCATTTTTGGTTTATTTCGACGATTTCGGGAGCACCCGGTATAAAATATTCAACGTGAAGTACTTGCAAAGATGCCTAACAGATGAGATAAATTTTTGTTAAATTTTCACCTCCTCTCCGTCTCATTGGATCATTTGCATCCAAACAATTGTTAAATTTTTTGTCAATATTATTTGTTGACGATGATAAACGATCGGGCGGCAATTTCCACGAATCGGCGGAAAATGAGATCCACCAGACCCGGGTGGAATTAATAGGAACGCGTAGACGGGCCAATTAAACAAGATTAACTTGTTACTTGTTCACGGTTCACGCCTCCGATAAAAGGCAACTCCTATTTCGCGCACGTACGCCGCCAGAAACCGATCGTTTCAGATTCAGCGCGATCGCCGGCTGCAGCTGGATCGACGTCGCGACGTTAATTCGACTCACGGCTCGGCCAACGCCACGCACGCCTCTGCGACAATTATCATGGCTTCGATGCCATTATGGGAAAACAATGAAGCGGTCCCTTTCGTCCGGCTCTACCATCGTCACGACGGCGTTGAAACCGTCGATTGGCTCACCGGTTGAAGCTGAAACTGGTTCAGGGTTGTCGATCGATGAGTTAACTACCTCTGCTGGGTGTATGAATTTTTTACCGGGTACGACTCGTGTATTTGTCATCGATCTTATCGACAGAATTTCTAGCCAAAGCTTCATGATATCGTTCTCGTTTTGTATTATTAACGTTTGGCTCGAATTGACACACCAAACGTGGATGAAAAAGTATTGCAACTCAAAGAGAAAAACGATCCTCCAAAGTTGCGTAAATTCTCGAGAATTACTCTCGTTTCAAATGTACNGAAATTTTTACGAAGAATTGCACGAATTGTTTCTTTCAACTAGGTGTGTGAATCTTTTACTCGTGTATTTGTCATCGATCTTATCGACAGAATTTCTACCCAAAGCTTCATGATATCGTTCTTGTTTTGTATTATTAACGTTTGGCTCGAATTGACACACCAAACGTGGATGAAAAAGTATTGCAACTCAAAGAGAAAAACGATCCTCCAAAGTTGCGTAAATTCTCGAGAATTACTCTCGTTTCAAATGTACGAAATTTTTACGAAGAATTGCACGAATTGTTTCTTTCAACTAGGTGTGTGAATCTTTTACTCGTGTATTTGTCATCGATCTTATCGACAGAATTTCTACCCAAAGCTTCATGATATCGTTCTTGTTTTGTATTATTAACGTTTGGCTCGAATTGACACACCAAACGTGGATGAAAAAGTATTGCAACTCAAAGAGAAAAACGATCCTCCAAAGTTGCGTAAATTCTCGAGAATTACTCTCGTTTCAAATGTACGAAATTTTTACGAAGAATTGCACGAATTGTTTCTTTCAACTAGGTGTGTGAATCTTTTACTCGTGTATTTGTCATCGATCTTATCGACAGAATTTCTACCCAAAGCTTCATGGTATCGTTCTCGTTTTGTATTATTAACGTTTGGCTCGAATTGACACATCAAACGTGGATGAAAAAGTATTGCAACTCAAAGAGAAAAACAATCCTCCAAAGTTGCGTAAATTCTCGAGAATTACTCTCGTTTCAAATGTACGAAATTTTTACGAAGAATTGCACGAATTGTTTCTTTCAACTAGGTGTGTGAATCTTTTACTCGTGTATTTGTCATCGATCTTATCGACAGAATTTCTAGCCAAAGCTTCATGGTATCGTTCTCGTTTTGTATTACAAACGTTTGGCTCGAACTGACACACCAAACGTGGATGAAAAGGTATTGCAATTCAAAGAGAAAAACGATCTTCCAAAGTTACGTAAATTCTCGAGAATTACTCTCGTTTCAAATGTACGAAATTTTTGCGAAGAATTGCACGAATTGTTTCTTTCAACTAGGTGTGTGAATCTTTTATTGGTACTCGTGTATTTGTCATCGATCTTATCGATAGAATTTCTAGCCAAAGCTTCATGGTATCGTTCTCGTTTTGTATTAACGCATTGCTCGATTGACGCGTATAAAAGAATATTGCAATTCAAAGGGAAAAACAATCTTCCAAAAGAAGATTACGTAAATTCTCGTTTTAAATCTACGAAATTTTTACGAAGAATTATACGAATTGTTTCTTTCTATTTTTTGTCAGTTAACGACGAGTCACGACAATTAACTGACTCGTCTGGCTTGAAAATCGCTTCTTCACCATACATATCGTTCTCCGTGACCGTTTTCCAAGACACGTTTCGCGTTTTGAAACGAACAACGACCGCGTAGGATGCTTACATTAATTTCAAACAATGCCCGATTAGACGTTGCGCAATTGATTCGATCGCGTGGATGAAAGATACGAGAAGTAGTTATAACCAGTGGAAAACGCAAATATCTACTTAGCAAGATAATAAGCTTGACAAAAGAGAACGATTAACGTAATCACTCTGTGAAAGAACGTTACGAAAGCGAGAGGAATTTCTAAATGGAATTTCAAAAACTGAAAGGAAATATCAGGGGTACCCATAAGTAATTTTTTTTCAAATTTAACAAACATTGCCATCTAGTGACAGTAATTTAACTTATCACAACACAATCTATAATCTAGTTGTATTCTAAATATATTGACATTTAGCGTGCTTATTGTTAAATTTTGAAAAAAAAAAAACCTGAATGAACCCCGTAAGAATGGAAGAGCAAAGTGTGGATAAATTCCACATAAATTCCACGGCGTTGATTTAGGTTAAGTTCAGGTTATCTATCTTCTCGACCTGTTTGTTTTTACTTTGAAATCACTTTCATTTTACAAAAAGGAAATAGAAAATTTTTCAGAGAGACAGAGGAGATTGTCAATAACGATGGAGATTATATTACAGATGAAAACTGTATTAACTCTTAGATAAAATGAAATAAAATTTTATACGTGATATCAAGAAACGATGTTACTTATGGATACCCCTAATACACACGATGAAAATATGTACGGAGCACTCGCGCTACGTCGGAAGCGTAAATGTTGGATATTGACCGCGTTTGCAGAGGAAGCTTTACGCGACTTGCCATCAAACGAAACGCTATATTGCGCCCCCATGGACGAGCGTGGAACAGCTTCGCAGGACGTTGGTAATTACTAGGCAGCAAACAGAGGAATGAGAGAAACGAGTTTATTGCGAGTTGCTGTAGGTGTCTTTGCAAGGTTTTATCGTCGCCCGATGTCACGGAACGGATGCACCGAGTGATCGGCTATTTTATCGACACGGCGGAATAATCAACGTGCGTCGAGCGAACGTGCAAACTTTACGACTTTCGAGACACGAAATACGTCGAGATACGATTTTTACAATTTCTGGTCGTTTGATCTGTATGTAGAAAAATATGTAGAAGTGGCTTGGTCAGGTCTTGAATGATAAAATTAAAACGAAATGAGTCAGACAGGATATTCTTTGATCCTTGTTAGAATGTAAAAAAAAAAAGTTACTTTGCAATACACGAATATTTAGAAAAAAAAAAAAAACTCTAAAGAAACAAGAAACAACCACGAATTTAGGTACAATGAATTAAAAAAAAAAATCGGTGATGTACGAAGCTTCTACTTTTGCAGTTCTGGATTAATTTTTTCACAAAAATGTGTTTCCACGCAGTAAGTGAGAAAGTAGAGGTACTGTTTCTCCATCAAATATTTAAAAATCTGCTTCACCACTGAATCCCGTCACGATGGATTTGAAAATTGTAGCTTTGCAGTGGACTCTCTACTGTGTAATTTCTTTTTGTCAAGTTCTCATTGAATTTAAGATATATTCGAAAACAACGAAAATTTGACAAAGTCTTGGAATTTCTTCAATTCTTATCGTTTAATTCTACTATTCTATTTTACTCAAAGTTCGATGACTGGCGAAAAGAAATCAAATACAGCAAATTTTAGAGGGTTAGGTTTAGGTTAGTTTTAAATTACGCAGTATGTAGTATGAAAAGAGAGATATTTAGTCCCCTAGACCAAGATGAAACACACATAAATATATAAGGCACTGTCGTCTTTCGCTCAAGGTGACGATTACCAAATTTTTAAATCAGAAACTTCATTCTTCAACCGTACAGTAGATTCAGTTACGAAAAGAATTTTTCAATGTTCTGAGAAACCTTACAACATTCCCAAGAGCGGAATTTACAACATTTTCGAAACGTTCTCGCGAAAAATGCATTCATAAAAATGAAACTGCAAGCGCCGCGCTTTGAAACGAGCCCAGATTCATTGCCGCGTAATTGTAACAGCTTCAGTATCATCGATTTTCCGAAACGTCGGTTATAATTATAATGTATGGCCGCCGCGCAGCACGTCATAGCCGACGTCCTCGTTCTGAAATTAACCCAGTTATGCGCGAAGAATTTTGCAGAAAAAGTCGAGGCGACGTCGAGTGGCCATTGAACAGGAAGCGATCGGAGCGCAGCGAAAGGAAAGAATGCGCTGCGCGTCCTTGCAAGGTTTTATCGTTCGAAACCATTGGATGAGGAACGCGCGAGGCATAGATAGAGGCAGGGAACATAGACCGGAGATATCGATTGCTCGATTAATAATGCAACGACCTGGCAGCGGGGAGAGAGTTTGCTCCTCGCGTTCGCTACGTGGCAGACACGTTCCTCGTTGCATAACGCGTCTTCGTCTTTCGAAGAAATAGGATTCTTAGGAAGCTATCATCGGAGGACATCGATATTCCGATCGTCGTAAATACTTGGTGCTTTTGTCGAGCGCGCGCGCAAACTTATTTCATGCGTTTTACAAAATCTTTTACTACAACGTGTGTGAAAGTATATCCGCGCGCGCGGAGTGTTTTACATCGAGCAAGAGGAGAACGCGGTGTAAAAGATAAAACGTGTATCGGCAAACAGAATGGGGACGCATCGTCTTTTTCTTTTTCGTTCGGATTTTTCCGAAGTTTGTACGACGAAGCGTCGTCCATCAAACGGAATGACGGATCTTCAAAGGGAAAAATCATATGCGGAGAGGTTAATTTAACGCGAGGCGAGGGACGGGTGGCGCTTTGCGGTCGATGTGCCTTTCAGGTACGCGATATGAACAGCTTTCTGGTTGAAACGTGCCTCCCAGGCATAACAGTGCGCTGAAATACAATTTAATGGCTCCCTCTGTTGTTCTGTGTGGCGCTTCTACGTAACCAGACTATGGGTTATGGAAACGAAACACAATAATACCGATTACAATAATTTCTGCCGATGTTCTAATAATCGAGTCGCAAACGTTTCGATTGTAGTCACCACTCGCGGTAAATTTATCGTTTTGTTCGTTGCAACGGCGACGTAAACGACGACAATCCTATGGCATACAATGGAAATAAATTTTATTTTTAAGAAACGATTTCGTTCGTCCGCGATCGCTCTCTCAGCCAGCTGAGCGAAACCATTTTTCACGACAAGGATAAATAAAACGGCATGTAACTGGTTTGTTTAAAAAACGACACAACGTATCGAGAATACGGGGTAGTACTATATACAAACTATGGTTATGAAATCGAAATACAATAATTTCGCGAGTTTGGTATCGAATCTGTTGATGTTCTAACGATCGAATCACAAACGTTTATAATCACTCGCAATTACAATTTATCGTTCGTTCGTTGTATCGTAGAATGGTAACGACGATGATCGTGACAATAAGAATTGCATTTTTGAGAAAAAATTTCGTCCACTTGCGACTACTTTGTCCAGCCAGCTGAACAAAGACGTTTCCTACGACAGAGTGAAACGGCGTGTAGCTCGTTTGTTAAAAACCGAAACAACGCATCGTTCCGTTTCACGCAGCGTAAAAACACGGGGCGTGCGTCATCGAGATTTTCTGTCTCATAGTCGCTTGTATCTCGAATGTGTTTTCCAACGTAGTGAATGACATTCGCGTCGAAATGAGATTTCCGAGGGCTATTTTCGCCACGGTTCATACCGAAATAAAACGCTTCAAGAGCGGCGCTTCGGATGTTAAAACACGAATGTTTGTAAAAGCGTTCTGGCGACGCGAAACAAAAATTTTACATTCTCGCAGCGTGAAACACGGCTGAAACACGCAGGAACATTTGCCATTGTCCAGCGATAATACCGAGTGAAGCTGCTTTTTAATTCAGTTTCGCGTTTCTTTCTCGAAATGTATTACACAGCGATTTCCTCCCCCTTTTGTTTCCAGGTTTCGAAACGTCAATTCTACGATTTACGTTCTATTTGTTACTTCTTTTATTCAGCGGAAGATAAAACTGAAACTTTGACTTTAGCGGCACGAGTCAGGTTCAATTTCAAAATACTTCGTGTAAGATTAATTCTCCACGAACAACTGTGTCGAACAATCACACAGAACACCGTAATTTCTACATTAACGATCCCCCAGTAGCGCGGGATCGTTTGCTCGACATGTGTTTCATCGCTGCTCGCGAAACTTGATCGTGCGTGAAGCCGCCAATTTACACGGCACGCCAGTGGCACGTATCCCGTTTCATCGAAGAGTTACTCGCGAGAAATTGATCTGCCGAGTGAAAAACGCTCGAGACACCACGGTCACGGTCGATGTCGAGATTATCCGGTCGAAATTCCGCCATTTCCAGAACTTTCGTTGCTACAAAATGGCCGCCGTAACGCCTCTCACAGTAACAAAAAGAGAAAAAAAAAAAAAAGAAGAGAAGAAGAAAGAAACTTTGAACAGCCACGTAGGATGAAAGAGGAAAACGATTGATTCGCTCGGTTAAATAAATAAAAAATACGGTTAATTTAATAAACGAGTCGAGATTATCCGGTCGAAATTCCACGGGATTCCGCCATTTCCAACGCTTTCGTTGCCACAAAATGGCCGTCATAGCGCCTCTCACAGTGACAAAAAGAAAGAAAAAAGAAAAAAAAGAGAAAAAGAAAGAAACTTTGAACTGTCACGTAAAATAAAAATGGAGAATGATTGATTCACTCGGTTAAATAGAAATACGGTTAAATAAAAATACGATCAATCTAATAAACGAGTCGAGATTATCCGGTCGAAATTCCTCGGGATTCCGCCATTTCCAGCGCTTTCGTTGCCACAAAATGGCCGTCGTAGCGCCTCTCACAAAAGACAGAGAAAAAAAAAAAGAAGAAGAAAGAAACTTTGAACTGTCACGTAGAATAAAAATGAAGAATGATTGATTCACTCGGTTAAATAAAAAATACGGTTAAATAAAAATACGGTATCTAATAAACGAGTCGAGATTATCCGATCGAAATTCCTCGGGATTCCGCCATTTCCAGCGCTTTCGTTGCCACAAAATGGCCGCCGTAGCGCCTCTGACAGTGACGAAAAGACAAAAAAGACAAAAAAGAAAAAAAAAAGAGAAGAAGAAAGAAACTTTGAACTGTGACGCAGAATGGAAAAGGAGAACGATTGATTCGCTCGGTTAAATCGAGGAATACGGTCTAATCTAATAAACACGGCAGAAAATCAAAGACCAATGATTTCTCCCGTGACCGAGTCTCCGACCAGGGAGTAGCAAACCGATCGGTTTCGATCTTCCGGCCGCGTTTCTAATGTGTCGTGCACACACGAGATCCGTAGACCGCAAACTCGAAATCCATCGATGCCGGATCAACGAGACGACAGCCATCGATCGCTGTTAACGTCGAGCTCGCTTTGACGAGCACTTGCCCGTGACGGGGCGCAAGTTATCGAGAGATACGACTGCAGTCGAGAGGTTAGACCGAATGAAGTCCTTTGGCAAATTTGCTTTCCTGCTTTGGTACTTGCTTTCCTCCGTCTGACTTCTTGCGCTGGTAATTTTGTTTCTGAAGTTAAACTACACATTTGCGCTCGGTGTGTAAATAATCCCCTTCTCTAGTCTCTCGGTAAGTGAATTTGTTATTGTAAATCAATTTGCATTAAAAAAGCCGAGGATCTCAGAGACATTAAAAGTTTCAAAATCTGTCGACAATTCCTTTCGAATGTTCGATGCAAGATCGAATCTCGTCGAGGCGTTCTTTACGAGACAAGAGATGTTTACAAGGATTCCACTTCCTTGGATCACCGTATTCGCGTTCAGTGTCCTGGTAAAGTAATCCGATCCTGATGCCAACGAATTGACGCGAGATCGATCGAGGAAGGCATTCAACGGTGCGTGTGCGTGCACGATCGCCTACTTGCCTGCCTGCCTGCCTTCGACCAGCAAATAAAGTCAGTTGGTATCGATTCCTATCGATCTCAGCATCCGTGTGTGTATGCATTCACGATGCCCTGTAGATTGAATTGCACGCGCACGCCGAGCTGGCGGTGGTATTCTCGAACACTGAAATCCTTTTAAACACGCGAGACGACTCACTGATATCGAAGTTCTCTTTTTCTCTCTTCTTCTTTTTTAAATAACAGTAACTTGCAGAGAAAACTTAAACTCATTCAAAATGATAATATTTGTAAGACTCTTTTCTAATATTTTTCCCCGACAGACCACAAGTACGTATTTTCCACAGGAAACCTAGTTCTCCGAGAAAATTAACGTTTCTAGCGTATTAACCAGACCTGCAAATTTACAAAGAGTACCGTTTTATCGAACGATCGTTCCTGCAGTAAATCGATCTAGGTTGCAACGATAATCTAGCTGGTTAGCAGAGCTTCCCTTCAGCCGGAGGACGTTATCGAGGAGCATCGGACGAGATATCGTGCAAACAAGCTGTCTGAATCGCGTCCAGCAGGAGGATTTTCAGCTTGTTTGTCCTCGGTTTAGCAGTATCTTGCCTAAGGAAGCGGAGTGGGTGAATTACGAGAGGCGTCCCTTCACGAAAACGTTCAAGACGAAGGATGAAAGTGATACAACGGCTTAGACTTCTTCGCGGATTACGGACTTGTGAAATATGGACACGAGAACCGGGGAGGATGCAAAGTTTAATAATTAGCGTTGCGCGAATTGTCTGGTGAACGAGAAGATGAGCTTTTGTATCGATTCACGTTGCAAGGATATGCTACGTATATAATATCTATGTATAATAATTATGTGCGTAGTATAATGTAAATAATATATCGTATATAATACTCAATTATTAAAATACTTAGTTGCTTGTA